TCTCGCCAATGCGCGCGCACTGAGCGGGGCCATGGTGCGATAATCGATCTTGTCGCTTAGATCCGTGACCGCGATGAAGGCTGAGACGGGTCTCCGTCCGATGTCTCGCAGGGCTAGCAACGTGGCGCCTGTGGTCCCTGACGCTTGTTCCCAGGGCCTGGGCGCACGAAGGACGCGGAATGCTTGCCTCTGCCGAGCCTTCTGCAACGCGTCGCGAGCGGCACAGCAATCCTGAACCAAGAGGGCCATTGGAATCTCGGCTGCGTCCTGCAGAAAGCCCTGGGGGTCATCTCCCGTGGACCCCTGGATGCATGACGAGACCCATGCTGTTGGAATCGCCCCTGGAGTGTACCCTGTGCCTGTCATGGCGACTCGCGCCTGCTGGGCAGCTGCAGGGGGTGCCCTGCGCACTCCCGACCCCTGCTGCGTCGCCGACGGCAGGGCCTGCCACGAGAATCGAGAGACCAGGGCACCAGCTTTCTTAATGGCTGAATGCCTGGACATGCGCAGGCGTGTCCTAGCGATGCGCGGCCGAAGGCGTCCACATTTTAACCTCCTGCCCGCCGCCACTTCTATCCCCGAGGCCTCCAACGCAGAGGCATATCGATAACCTAGATATTTGACTTGGCGGGCGACTTGCCTGCCAATCTGGGGAGACGAAGGTGCGACAGTCATTTTGTCTTTCGCTGCGGCAAGGTCCATGCTCCTCAACGTGTCGGCGAGGGGCGACAACGTAGCGACAGCGGAAGCAACGATGCGACTAGCAGGATCCATCATAGCTGTGGTGATATCATATCGTCCACGCAGAAGTCTACAGTGCGCATGATGCGCCGTGTGTTGGTATACATGGTATCGAAAGGGGGCAGGCATAGCGCATATGAGACAGAACATCGCCATCGGACATCCAGGCAAGACACCTCGCGTGGCCCAAATCTCGTCGGAGAAGGACGAGCCCCACGCTATCCTGCGCGGCGGCATATACATCTGCAGCGCCAGCGCCAGCAAGCGAGCTGGAAATTGGCGCCGAGCAGCTGCCGCCGCGGGGAGTCGCTATGGGATGTGATCGAAACACTTGTCGATATCGACAATGGCCTGCGCTGCCGCGTGTCCGCCAGCCCCCATGTCCGCGGCTTCCGCTTGAACATGTAACCTTGCAGCGGCATCCGCTGTCGATTTTTGGGCTCCGACCGCCAGGTATAATCTTCCTAGACGCCGGTGCCAAGCTGCGGACCCAATCCAGACGCGCCTTGCCCCTAAGCCGATGAACCGAGCTCAACGGCGCCATCGGTCTATAACCTCGAGATGGTTTCGCTCGCAGGATGACGTGTACCCTCCGAAATTGCACTGGCCATGACCCCCCATATTCACACATGTGAAGGATGTAGCTGGGGAGGGAGAGCGCGCCGTTCGAGGCGATGGCCCAGTGCGTGGGTCGAAACCTATCAGCGCCAACCTGCAGTTATCGGGGGGCTTCCTCGGGAAGGCCGCGCAATGCGAGGGGCGCCGCCTCGCTGGGCCGCGAGCCGCGTCTTTTCGATGTGGATCCGCACCCCGCTGACCACCGAGCCTGGCGCCGTGCACAGGTGGACCAAACCCAAGGGGCGGCCGCTTTCAACCGTTGAAACTCAGCATGGCGGTTCGAGCTTTCCAAAAGATATTGATTCCTCCCAGAGGGCCTCCTGGGGTCAAATCTGGGATGGCCTCGACGAGGCTCCGCTGGGCTATGAATGTGGGCTCGCTCCTCCAGGACACCGATGACGACCTCCTCGGGGACTTGAGTGACCTGCTTCGGAATGGCCCCCTAGTGCCCCCCTCTGAAGATCCCCGGCCTCCGCGAAGCCTCAACCAGGTTCCCATCTAGCACGCAGCGGGTCACGCTGTGCTGGTTGCGCAGCCATGCATGTGAGCATGTGAGCAATGTCCTGGACCATGCGCGCATCCCATCTAGCACGCAGCGGGTCACGCTGTGCTGGTTGCGCAGCCATGCATGTGAGCATGTGAGCAATGTCCTGGACCATGCGCGCATCAATGCGCGGCCGCAATCACCCATCACGGCCATGCCCCCCCATGAAGTTGATTAGGGGAGACCAGGCGCACGTGCGCGCGTGGGTTATTCGTATGATGCGGAACTCGCAAATCGTGCGCGTGGGATTGCAAAATACGAAGTGCGCGTGATTGCTGCGTTCCCGCTGGTGGCTGCCGCGCTAATGCTCCTCCCGCGGCGGCATGCTCACATCGCAGCCCTCGCGCCCCCCCCCCCGCAACATGTCTGCAGGCCTGGCGCCGAGCTCAAGAAGAGGAACGAATTCTCCCGCTGCACCGCGATAGAGAGTAGATGCCAAGGCGCGAAGGCGCTCTGCGCGTCTACTGGCGACACCGAAGCCTGACTCGGAGTCCGAGCGCATGGTCTCGACCCAGTCGCGTGGGGGGGGCGCCCCGCTGCTAAGGGTTCGGTTCGCCATCGCAGTCATCAGCCTCAAGAGCAACTGAACTAGGCGTGGCTGGAAGCACGCGAGGCTTGACGAGACGGCAGAGCTTCCGGCTGCGAGGCCCGGGCCCGATCTCAACGCGCATCGGGTAGCGCCGACGAGGAGGAAAACCGACAACTCGCCACAGCGCAGGCATCGCCGTCGCAAGAATGTCCGACACAGTCCAGCAACCTTCTCAGGTTGGACGTCGCAGGGTCCTTGCATGCGCCTTGCTTCGAAGCACTCAGAGTTCTGCGCGACGGCGGGGGGCAGGTTCCAGTCCCCGCCGAAAGCAAACGGCGCCGCCGAGTAGAAGCTGAGACATTCTCCTATCCGGGCAAGCCGTTCAACGCTGGCCCCGCTGAGGCGACGCCCCTGTTCCAGGTGCGTCGATCCAACGAATCCTCCGCCTCTAAAGCCAGATTGGCCCATGACTGCCACGCAGTGCCTTGGAACCAAAGCATGTGTCGCAGCAAAGTCAGCAAGTGGGGCCGCATGGATATGCTTCCGAACGAATGGGCCTACCCCTCCCATGGGTTGACCAGTGCCGCTGGCCCCCGCGTCGCTGGCGAAGGCTTGCCACCCCTGCTTCTGGCGCCGCTCCTCGGCGAGAAGGCGTCGGTGCCCGTGCGAACGGAGCCCCTGCCCTGCAATCTCCGACGCGCGCTTCATCTGCTCGAGGAAATCTTCCATCTGCGGCCAGCCCGAACTGTTGGAAGAGGCCATCTGCATGGGCTCCTCACGCCGACCCGCTCGATGCCGCGGTGGCTTCGGTGGGGGGCCAGAGCCAGCTGAGCGCGCAGCGACGTGGACCGCCTGTTTGGCCTTTTCAGGGGGTGGGGCGGCGGGCCCCCGTTGACAGATTGCATCCGCGTTCGAGCTGCACGGCGCCCCCGCCGACTCCAACGTCAAGTCGACGAACGGCGGTGCCGATCCTGCGGGGCCGCAACGAGGAAGTGGCGCATCATGCTGGGCATCGTCCCTCTGACACGCGCATGGGTCCAGACCTCGTAATTGGCGCCGCCTGGAATGACGCAGGCTGCGCTGGCAACAGGTAGGAAATGATCGCGCGCTCCATGCCGCCGCCCCCCAGCCCGCTGCACCTCGCAGCGCCGTCGTCACCAGGCCGGGGGGCGTCGACCGCATCCTCGTCAGAAATCCCTGACCTGGTCAGTGCACACGAGGGGG